AAAGCTACACAGCCACAGTGTTTTCTTTCCTTACCTTCCAGCATAGAATGAATCTTTTACCTGTTCCTATAATTATGGGCCAGAGAAATAGCTGTAAAAGGCAGAGAGAGAAAGAACAGACATCTTCTGGGTGCAGAAGAAGGATTCATGTTGTTTACTGTTTATTGAAGTTGATTAGTTTGTGACTACTGTTGTTTTTTCCATTGATTGATGTCATTTTAATTAATTTAAAGCCAAAGCATTAGTACTTTATCACGTATGGGAGGGTTGCTTATGTCAAGCATGCCATATTCTGTAGTATATTATGCAAGGGTATAGAAGTGGCAACTATTTGCATTATATGCATATTTGGCTATTTTGGAAGGTTCTCTTCACCAAGCCCTCATGAATGTCGAGACCCTACAGTATATCGGGTGACCTTCAATCAGGAATTACATCCTGTTCTCTCATAGTCGAACTACGCTTAACTGCGGCTGTTTTAAAACAAATGTTTCTAAAATGATATTAGCCTCCAAAAAGGCTACCAGAAACATTATTGCATTTCTTACAGGAGGGCACTGCAAACTTTTGCTGATGCAGGCAAGAATCCTGGACACTGACCCATTTGTGCTCTTGCTTTCCAAGTGCACGAGAGGTACAGTATTTGTAGCTGCAAGGCATAAGTGTTTTGAATTCTTTTTTATTTTTGACTGTCTGATTTGCATAGCATCCAGAGACAGGCTCTAATACAGCTGCTGCTCTAGACCCCTCCGTTGGCTCAGGGTCACACTCATTTTGCACCAGAACAACATACCGCCTTCTTGGGTCTCAGCTTGAAGTCTCATGCAGCAGATAAGAGCTTTCACCTTGGACCTGCCCCTAGGTCTGCCTCACCTACACCTATGTAAGGTGTCAAAACCCAGGCTGGTTTGTTTGTGCTGCTGGCATGCAAGAAATATTAATGATATCCATACTCTTTTGGTGCACAATGTTCATCTACATTTTTCTTGTTACAGCTCCAGAGCATTGTTTTGCCATAGTCTGGCATTCTTCTTCTAAAATCATCTACATTTTTCATGTGAATCATATCTCGATGTTGATGACATTCCACGCTTCTCTCTTTGCCTCAGATTAAGACCAGTGTCTAAACACATTATGATCTGTTACATAGATCAGACTCAGGTGATATACCATTCTGACCAGCAATTAAGCCATTGAGGTTCTAGGGTGCTCTGTAAGGAACTGCAGAAGTAGCTCTTCTTACACTGAACTGTTGATGTAATTTCTGTTGCCTGACAACAACAAGATCACAGGTCATAGCTTTCCAGACCAAGCGATGGCACACTCTATTAAAAGAAATTGCAACCTATAGGTCCTCTTTCAGATCACAGATCATTTATGCTACACATTTTTTTGTCGGTATGCAACTGTTTTCTCATTTCATTTGCTGCCCATATGTGTTATAGAGACAGCACAGCACTTCTGAAACATGTCCTCTAGTTGTATCATTCATCAGCACTGGCATACTAACCCATGAGTTTGTAGCTACCACTCAAAATGAACAGAACATTAGGTGACTTCTGTAACCATGGTTCCCTAAAAAGACTCCTTAGGTCACATCGGATCCCTACAGTGGGATGTCTAAATGAAAAAGGGAGAACAGAACATAACTCGAGCACCAGCTCTGTTTACAGCCTCCTCAGGGAAAGGGTGGAAGCAAGGTGTCGATGTTCTGTCCCCTGGTAGCAGTGGTGACATCCTATTGTTCAGTGCCTTCTGTTGAGAAACATGGTTACAGGAGTAATTGTGCACATTCCAGGATGCAAACTTAATAGTTTGAGGTTTTTGAGGTTACTTTGAGGTTACAATAAAGAACAATGAATACTTTTGTTTCTTCTACACTCTTAAAGTGCTTTTAGTTGAAGATCAACATCTGTTGGAGGGAGTCCTTAAAGTTCTATAAGAGCTGAGTTATCATGAAAATTAAACTGCCATCATTTTGTTAAAGGACAGAAAACAAACCTTAAAAAGGTCTGTCAAACTATATACATGATGTTCTGATTTTAGTAATATCTAAAGCTGTTTAAAGAACTATTTAACAGTGTGTAATCACACCTCAAACATAACCTGGTGTTAATCTGTAAGAAGAAAAGGAAACAACGTGTGTTGTTGTTATGTTTTTTTCAGAGTGTAAAATCAGCTATCCTTAATTTTGTTTTCATAGTAACTCTGTGTATCTTGTCAGTGTCTTTGTGCTTCCCTATCTTTTATTTTGTGTTCTAGGTTTACAGTTTAATAGCAGTTTTAAATAAGAGTTACTTTGGATAAAGCCAAATATTAATCATGATGTTTCACTGGTTCAGTAGTTCTTGCCTGGGCACTCCAGTAAGTGTTCAGTGCTTTGACAGTTTAACTTCTTGCCCTCAGCACTACCTGAGTGTCACTGTAAATCAACAACATCCACTGGAAAGACTCAAGTGAGGTGAGGTCATGAGAGTGCAGAAAAGCAGGGTTAAAACTGACATGGGGAAATGTGGGTGAGAGGGATGAAGAAGAAGATCGGGTGTAAGGAGCAAAGACCTAACACAGCCACACTGACAAGTCAGTGTCTAAAAGATAATAGCTGCAAACAAGCAGACCTCACAGCCTGTCCAGATCCCTGAAAATCTCTGATCTCCAGTGGCAAACAAGCAAATGACCTGGTGATGTAGGCCATGGGTATTTTATCAAATTGTTTACAAATTTGTGTAATCACTTTAAATATTCTTCATCAGCATATCTTTTCCTTGCTCTTTTTGGGATGGACCAGTTTCTTTGTAATACTTATGCCTCAATGTCATTTGTAAATACTCCACTGATTTTCCTCCTTTATTGTTTTCTGTAATAATTTTTTCATCACTGTCAGTTTAGTTGCTCATGAGACACTTTTCACTGGCCTGTTCTCATTATTTCGTTTCTAGTAATATATGAAAAAGACAGATTTTACATAAAGATTTACTTCTCCATTTACATTGTATATTTTTGTCATTGCTACATTGAAATGAATACAACCTAAACATTGCACATCTTTGTATAATAATAGGAAATTGGAAGTATCATTGACTAGGGATGAAGATGTTTTTGTTTACAACATTTGACTATAAAGTCACAAAAATATGACATGTATGATTTAGATTTGTATGAAATGACAGATATAATGAGAACATCTGACAACTCTCAGAAGGGGACTTTAATTGGCTGCATGCAGCAACATGGAGCCAGTGAAGGGACAGGAGTAATGGAGAAACATAAGAAAATTGAGGGAAAGAAAAGACAAGAAGAGCAACAGAGCTCTGGATGTGCTGGAATCTGAGGGTGGTGTTGGCTGGGAGACCAGCCAAAAGGGAGTTACAATAATCTAGATAAGAAAATATCAGGGCCTGTAAATTCTGTGAATGTTGCCTTCAAGCAGAAAAACTAGAAACATGCCAGAGAAGAAATGTGTTGAGAGTAGAAAAGGGAGGGGTTAAAAGTGATGCTGAAGCTTTTGTTGCTACCATGCTTTGGTAGTTAAATTAATCTGTATTGGGAATCATTAAAGATCTAGCTCATACTACCAAATATCATATATTATTTTATTCTGAAAATAAACATTAAACAATTATATATAAAAATATCTACATCAGTTTAAAAAAAATGTATTTTTTTAAAAAAAGATTGTCAAACCTGTATTCTAATGTATGTACTCATAATTCTGTAAATATTTCAATATACTGTATTATTGTTTTAATGTTTTTTACAGTATATTTTAAGCATTAATAAGTGAGAATCACTTATGTGGTAATAAAAAAGTATGACTATAACAAAGAAAGAGAAAGGAAGAGCGGAGACAGAAAGAGAGAACAAGTTTAAAACAATAAGCCAACCAAGCCATCGAACCCTGTGAGATTAGTCCCAGTGAACTACTCTGATGAGACACTGTGCTGTCTTTAGTCAAGTGTAGGTATGTCTTACATTCAAGCTTAGATTTACATTAGTTGGTGAAAAACCCAAATGTGAGATCTGAAGAAAGCAGTAAGCTTTATGATGTTTATCGTTAATATTAACATATACAATGTATAATCTTATATTTTTAACGTTTAATATTGGGTATGTAAAGTATACAGTATGTTAAAATGAGGAATCTAACTATTATTTGTGAACCACAGAACAGTGAGAATGCGATAAATTCTCATGAATAATCAAGGGAGTTTTAACAACACTATCATCTTCTGGGCTGCACTCTAAGGCACTTTGTGATAACTTACTATATTACAATACATTAATATCACGGCAGCCTCCACTGACATTCACAGTACCAGTATTTAAAAAAAAAATCCTTTTAGGTGTCTGTTTCATCTAACTGTTCACCACCCCATCCTCAAACCCTTACATTTGTAATGATACCTCTTCGGTCTCAGGTTCTACCAGCTTCTACTGAGACAATTTTAAGAAAACAGTTTTGTGACATCATAGTTAACTCTGAATTATGGCTGTTTTTTTTAGCATCAACTCAAGCACAAAAACAATCTTTGTCTCAACATGTTGTCAGAGAAAAGAGCGTCACAGACTAGCAATAAACTTAAAAATGTAACATTCTTACAGTTTAGATTATTGGCATTTCCATTTGAGGAAAAAAGCAAATTATACATTGTACAGCTATCAAACTCAATCAGTAAGCTTTCTTTTATTGTTTTTTTTCTTACACTATTAAAAATGCACCATGCTGCATTACAAAAAAAAAATACTCTTTCTGGATGACCTTAAATTCTGAAACATGTTTATCATTCAAAGCAACACTCTCTTTTCAGGTGCTTTCAGGTACTACAAAATGAATGTGACATAAATCATGCTGTATTTTTGTGTGCATGCCCCCAGTACCTGCTCAATAGAAAATTGTTCTCAGGAATATAGAGCAGTGACAAAAGCTCTTTAAAATCAGCACAGATGTTCTCAGACAGCATTTGAATGGCAGGGGAGACCAAGTTCAAAGATAAACATACCTTCCGTGGATCTTTGTTTAAATCATCCAAGTCAAGCAGAAAGATGTGATCTTTGGCACCCAGCAGAAGGCGCCCCTTTTCCTCATCCAAAAGAAGGGTCTGAAAGTGAACCCCTTTAGCCGAGCCCAGGAATGGAGTGCAACTGTTTGAGAACAGCAGGTCTGCATAAGGAAGAAGGGAAGCCATATAAATGCTGTGACTCATCATAGTCTTAATAAATACAGACACATCCCAAAGATCTCACACTTTAAACTCTGTAGTACTTGGTTCTATTTAAAATTACAAGCTTTTTCTTTAGTCATCACCAGTACTCTGAAACATAAAAGCTTTTAAAAGTTTATCAGTGATCCTAAGTGATTTGTTTCCCCAGAAGATTTCACAAAAGAGAGAGAGCAAGAAAAACACATAATAAAGATTTATGGATTTACTTTGGTAACATTAATTTGAAATACTACACATTAACAAAAACTTCACTCCCACTGTCATTCGTTTACTGAAAGTATATACATTTACAACAGATGGTTGAAAAATATTTTTAAGCTTCCCAGAAAATAAAATTAATTATAAATTTATTGTTTTTTAATGGATTTATGTACTTTGAGCAGCACTCATATTAACTGCTTTTCATTGCCTACAGGCCTATCTGTCAAAGAAAAGCTCAGATTATACAATGATCAATGTTCCAATCACAATAGATACAGCACAACTCTAAGTCTTGTGATACAGTGAATGGCTCATTTTCTTCTACACTGTGTTTCTCTGACAGAAAGAGAAATGTGTATCACTTTGCAAGATACCTTGTACCCTTCAAATTCAAACTTTCAGCATATTTTCATTAAGCAGAAACTAAACATTCAGTCAGTGTCCACAATCTTTGCATACACAATGACAAAATATGCATATAGACAATTAAAATTCAAACAGAAATCTAGACATTAAATCCCTGAAACCTTTAATGTACTGTAACTTTAAAAATGATTCAGGCCTATTACTTTGAAGATACCACCAGAAACTAAAATCCATTGTTTTCACAGATATCCTAAAATATTAAACACCATCTTTGCCATTTGTGAGTTTTGACGCTAGACTACCTGGAGAAATCGTAGTTTACGATGGGTGTAGTTGATGAGATACTACCTAGGTCATTTTTGGAATATCTGTTGTATTAAAATGTGTTCAGTTTAAATAAACACCTCTGTTTCTCTTTCACTTCACTCCAGTGGATAGACTGTCTTTCAAAAATGAACTTTCCTGTGATTGCTTTAGAACTGTAAACAAATAGATATAACCTCTTCAGCGGAGTCATGTTCCATTTAATGCTACATTTCTTTAACAAACATTTATAAAAACACAGAGTGGTGGCATTCAGAGTGAAAGGCTGTATGGAATGACAGCACTACAATTTGAGGGATGAGGATTTGAACAGAATATACATATTCAATATTTGCACATTCACATTTTCTTGTTTTACTGGTGAGAGATTAGCCATGCTGGTTCACTTCTAATCTGCTTTGTAAATAGGATGTATAAAGACTATAATGAAAGAAGACCAAAACTACTAGGTGAACTAGTTTTACCTCCTAGCTAACACTGTATTGACATTTGAAAAAAAGGCATGTTTTTTCAACTTATTCAACAAGTCCTACTCAATCCCAGCACAGAAGAAGCAGTACGTTCATTTCTACAAGATAAAATAATACTCTAGAATGTGTTTTGTATTAACCTTGAACAACAAGGTTTTTGTCTGAGTAAACTTTAAAGCTAGAGTAAAAAAATCCACATCTAGTTTGCAGGATATTTAATTTTGTCTATTTCAACATCCATTTTGTAAGCTTTATTAAACACACCTCTCTTGCTTTAAAATGTTATCTACATTTTCCAACACAATGACTGGTTTAAAATGCATATGCTGCTACAATGCTCTGAGTATTAATTTATTTCTCTTAAACTTCACTACCTTTATTTAGTCTTGATCTAAAGTGAATGGAATTTACATTTAATTTTATAATCAAAGTGGAATCTAAAATAAGTGGATAACAAAAGAGTTCCCACATACTGTTTTGAGTGAAAGCTAAGACATAAAAAGAAAATGTACATTTACTAAGATTCAGAGAGACAGAGCCCATTAAAAACATAAGAACCAGGCCATAATGGTAATCATAAGCATTGCCTTTAACCAAAGATCCATTGAAATTTAAGGACAATACCAAAAAAAACTTTTTATGTAAATTACATATGTGTGCATCTATAAGATGACAGTGTAAGAGATTTAGCCACACTGACATTCTTCGCCGGGGACAAATACCGTACTTGGATCAAAATCATTTTCATGAATTTGTGAAATCATTGTGATCGTTTTCAATTTAAAAAAAAGATGTTATAATTTAGTACGTTTTTCAACATTAGTGACTTGTAATGCAAATTGATACATGATCCATGCCTTAATAACAGTTTTCAGTCTTTTTTGCTTTAGTGATACAGTGTTTTCTGGTGTATTTCCATATATTGCAATAAGATTATATACTCTGCAGTCTTTTTACACTACCAATAAAAGAAAACTATCTGAAGTAAAGAACTCTGACGTAACTTTACACCCCTTGACAATTTTCTAAGGATAAAACTGCAAAACGCATGAAGCCCAGAAGGCACTATGTTTGGACAGCAATCTCATTTATTGCATCTCTTGCAGAAAGTTTTCTATCGCTTACATTGGTGGAACAGGAAAAAAGGCTCATTTCAGGGAACATATCAGTGCAGTGAGGAATGAAGATCAAAGACCAAGCCAAGACAACAGTTCCCCATTTTACCCTTCACAGTCACAATCACTCTGACCTTTCTGTCTGTCCTTTCATAGATATTCAGACTTCTACTCCAGAACAAGATTAGAAGCTAAAATGTCCATAAAATAAGCTCTAATTCCACATTTCACATAGAATGTGTATCCCAATTGTCCATCTTCTTATAATCCCTTTGTCAATTTCCTTCTCATTAGTGCATTCTCATTTTTCAGTTCATTGCTGGTTTTATTGGTCCACACACTTGAAGAAGGTTCCACAACCAGAACTTGTTTTTTTGTTGTTTCTACTTTTCTTATTGAATTAGCCTCTATTCGTTGGTTATCATACATATCAAATAACTGAGCAGACCCTAAGTGGTTTAAAAGAGCAAATTCTATACAAGGAAACATTGTTGTCTTAAAATTAGAAACTTATGAAAAGCTTAAGAAAGGAAATAGTATATAGAACTTAACTGAGAAAAAAGTTGTTTTAGTGCAATTTCTACAAAAACTAATACATAAGGTTGTGTTTATGTCACTGGTTCAAAACCTGCCCTTTAAATGTTAGTCATTTTAGAGATAAGGAGTTTTTAATGTACAGAAATGGCATATTTTTTAGACACAATTGCCGTGGCTTGTTTTCAGAGACTTCATTGGATTAGAACTTGAACGACTCATTATTATTTTATTGCACCGAGTGAAGAACAAGTGTCCAAATTATTGTTTCTAGGTCTATTTACAAACATGATTTATGTTGGGGTTTTTAAACTTCTTTAGTTGGTTTGCTGTGTATTTTAAAACAGGAAATTAGCAATAAAGGTTATGTGATTTATTTCTGTCGACTTTAGAAAAGTGCACCTTTACCTCCTTTTGCAAACACCATTCAGATACACAATTTCTGTGACTACAGACAGAAGTACTGTACTGTTTCTTCTCTGGATGTAGTACACAGGGGCTATAACAATACTGAAATGAATGCATTTTTGCAGCTAAATTGAATAGTGAGTCAATCATAGTTTTCTCATTCAAAATTATTATCTATTTAAATTTATTGCTGTTCACTTTAGAAAAGTATAGTTATACCTCCTTTCACTAACACCATTAAAAATGAAAGCTTTCATGTGAATACTGACAAAAGTCATTTCTTCTTTGCACATATGGTGTAATGAAATTGCAAGGGATTTAGTTAGAACTATTACACAACTAGTTTCTCAAAACACTTCCACAATAACTTTATGAACAGTTCTTTCACACCCCACCATCATCACAAAAATGTTTAATGTTGGGTATCTATAGCATAGCAAATAGTTATAGTCTCCTTCCCATCTTGTCAATCCTGTTACACAAGCAGCATGAGTACATGCATTGTGCTGTTGGAATGTTGTGAACTCACAGGAAGGGCAACAAGTGAAGCCTCAGGTCTTGATCAATGTAGCCCTGAGCTGTCACATCACCATAAATCAAGTGAAATCCTGCAGTGAATAGACACTCATTTTTAGACCATCACAATTAGAGCTCCCCATTTATTGGTCTTTTGAACAAAACAACTATCATATTGTTCTGCACTACACTCTCTGAAGACCATCAGGGTGGTCTACACAAATCCTTATTCACTGCTTAAGAGGACTTGACTTCACTGCTGAGGTTCACCCCAGATAACTTTGTGTAGCCTCCAGCATTCAAATAGCACAAAGGCATTATTCTCTGTGTTTTTCTTTCTTGATTTTCACTAAGCATGACATAAAAGAGTTGAAATTGCTTTCATTTATGCCTAAATCACTGTGATTTAAAGTGCATCTCTATCAGCAATGAATGATCATCCATCCATTTTCTAACTGCAATAAAGAATTTTAGGGGAACTGGAGCCTGTCCTGGCAAGCAAAGCCAACATAGGGTACCAGTACATCACCGCACGCCAATACATTTTTCTAAGAAGCCAGTTAACCTATCAGTAGGTCTTTGGACTATGGGAGAAAACCAGAGCTCCTTCCAGAAACCCACATTAACACAGGGAGAACTCCAAGCAGATGGTACCCCATTCATACATACTTAGAGTGGTACACTGTATATATATTGTATAATACAAACCAGGATACTGATTGAATAATGGTGTTTATTTAACAGAAGTTTGTAAGGGGGTCATATTCTAACACTGCACTTCCACTCCCATGGGATTCTGACATCTTATACTCAATATTACTCAATATTCACCTTGTATAAGCTAGGGGTGGAGTGGAAAAACCAACTCTGCTCCTATCTTGCAGTATGCTCTTTTCTTTCTGTTCTCTTGATATCGTCAATCCTCCCCAGATCTCCAAACAGCCAAGGATGTTTCATATTCATTTTCCTTCCCCCATTTCTCTGTTCTCTTAGCTCCACTCACTC